TCTTTTCTTTTGTCTAAGGATTTAAATTGTTTAAAAATTTGCTATAATGTGTATAATATAAAATCTATCATTTTTACCACCATTATGTTCACATCCAATAAGATTATGTTGACATGTTGGTAAAACCATACATCTCCAGCACATAATTTAGTTTTTGTTTATTGTTGTAGGTATGGTAGCATGGTTATAACAGTGTGAAAGTTTATGGTCACTAGGCAGAAAGGGATGCGCCCCTCCGCCAAAAGTTCCAAGACCTTCTGCTGCTGTGTCCATGTCACCTCTATTTCTCTTCCTTTCATCCACCCCATTCATCTGGCAGATTGGGCAAAGGCAAAAACGTCTACTTTTTCTGCTATTTTCTTTTACTCTTTCTGATGGGCCACACCTACTTACTTACTTCTTCAGGACTTACTTCTTGATCTATTCTCAGGATTCATGACTGGTGGTGCTCAGGATGGGATGCTGGGAATTGAACCCAGGTCATTCATATGTAAGGCAAGTGCCTTACCCTCTGTATTATTGCTCTGGCCCCTTTTTCTACTATTTTCCAATATTTCCTGGACAAATCAGGCAAGAAAAAAGTTAAAGTAGGACAAATAGGAAAAATTTAAATTACCACTATTAGAGGATGATACTATTTTATACATACAAGACCCTTAAAGTTTCTGCTAAAACTTGTAGGAATAATAAAACAATATAGCAAAGTAGTGGGATACAAAATCAATACACAAAAAATTATTAAAATTTTATTTGTAAGTAATGAATAATAAGACACATAATTTAAAAGAGCAAGAACAAGAGAGAGAGAAGAAAAGTAAAAATTAATTTAAAATTCTTTGAAACCAGTGTAAACTGGATGTAGGAAGTCAGACGGACTTATCCAATACTGTCGACAATCTTTTTCTCTCATAAAAGCTTTTACCATAATATAATTTTTTCCTTAGCTGGATGAATAATTGTATCCTCATGAAAGAGCTGCTCTATGTTTTTGATCCCCTGCATACCCTTTGTCTACATTTATCCAGATAACCTTGGTTCAAATGTCAGAATACACTTAACTCAAGAGACTGTGAAGTAGAGCATTTGGGTGATGTTTGAACTCTATGATCCTTAAAATAAACCAAGGTCTCATTCCTGATCCATATATCTTATGTCCTGGTTTAGGAAATATTCACCCAGAGCTTCAACAAACCTCATTGTTCTTCATAAATTTATGCAACTTTTAATTTTATTCTTGGGCAGTCATCTTCTAGGGCAATCAGAAAAAGAAGAAGACTTCAAAATCATACAATATTCACAACCAAGGATGCTTGCTTTGCATCTTGATACCCCTGGTTCAGGGCTGGAGCGATAGCACAGCAGGTAGAGCGTTTGCTTTGCACGCAGCCAACATGGCTGAGCCGAGTTCGGTTCCTCTGCCCCTCTCGGAGAGCCCGGGAAGCTACCGAGAGTATCTCGCCCGCACGACAAAGCCTGGCAAACTACCTGTGACGTATTTGATATGCCAAACACAGTGACAACAAAGTCTTACAATGGAAACATTACTGGGCCTGCTCAAGAAAATCGATGAACAACGGGAGGACAGTGATTATTAACCCTGGTTCAAATCCCTTACACCATGTATAGTTCTCTGAGTAACAGGGGGAGGGACTCCTGAGCACACCTGCAGGTGTGCCTCTCCTAAATAAAATCGCAAAATGTTACTCAGCCACTTTTCAGTAATCACCAAGTAAGTTATTTTTAGAATCATAACTTGATAGCATAATTTTGGCATCTACTTTTAATACTGATTCCTATATTAGCCAGATTCTAACAAGAAACACACTCAAATTTGAAAAGCAGCAAACAGGCATTGATTGATGTGTCATAATGGTATATAGAAGTAGCACTGTAGCACTGTCCTCCCATTGTTCATCGATTTGCTTGAGCGGGCACCAGTAACATCTTCGTTGTGAGACTTTGGCATATCGAATATGACACAGGGAGCTTGCCAGGATATGCCGTAGTCACTGAAAAACATGGGTGTGGCCCAAAAATTAACAGGAAAAACTTATATAAAATTTACAGAACAGCATCCAGTTCTTTACTAGAATCCAGTCAAGCCCTTCTCTGCCAGCAAATATCTATATCAGTTAAAAGTGTGGGGCAGAGCAAGACTCAAGCAGGGAAGGTGTTTGCCTTGAATAAGCCCAACCCAGATTTGATCCCTGGCATCCCATATGGTCCCCTGAGCACTACCAGGAGTAATTCCTGAGCATCTCCGGGTATGACCCCCCCCCAAAAAAAAAACAGAAAAAAAGAAAGAAAGAAAAGCAAAAACTTAAAAACAGAGAGTGTTCCCATACATATTTCAGCATACTTTTTAAAATAAACTGGTCTTTTAGGACTAAAAAATAATAAATCTAGTTGGCTAAAAAGTGAAAGCAGCTCTTTCTAAAATTATAAAGTGTGCAGAGTATAAAATATCAATGGCCCAAACCTATTTAATATTAAAGTATAAAATTTATGTAGCACTGTGGCACTATCCTCCCATTGTTCATCGATTTGCTCGAGCGGCACCAGTAACGTCTTCCTTATGAGACTTGTTGTTACTGTTTTCGGCATATCGAATACATATAGAATATAGAAATACAAAGAAGTATTACCCCTCAACTAAAGTCAAAGAATTGTGACCACCTGAAAGTCATTCTGGAGGTGGGGAAATCAATGCTTGAAATATAAGGATAGATATTTCTGGTCAGGCATACACATCACTCACTATAATGACCCAGAAAGAAAGCATATTAAAGAAGAAATAGCTCAACCTTGCTTCTTTTGTCCCTGCTATCCCTTGCTTATTATTCATGCTGATAATTCTGAAAAGAAGCCAGAAGAAAGGGAGTCACTTCCTATAGTATTTATAGTTCAGCTTCCTGAAAACCACAGTAGGGCAGAGAGGAATGGAAATTGAATCTTGAAAAGCCAATAGGAAGTATCTGATTCATCTAGTCAATGTTAGATACTACTGGACTCTGTACCATACTATGGATCAAAAAGATATCCTTTCTCTCTCTCTCTGTCTCTGTATCCCCCTCTCTCTCGTGGTGTGTGTGTGTTTGTGTGTGTGTGTTTGTGTATGTTGGGAGCACTTCTGACATGCTCAGGGGTTACTCCTGGATCTGCACTCAACCCAGATTGGCTGTATGCAAGGCAAGTGCCATACCTGCTCTACTCTCTTCAGCCCTGAGAAGATATTCTTGTACAGAAAGAAGAAAAATCCTGGTGGAGAAGTCGTGTACTTTGACAACTAAAACAGTAATGGGTTATATATAAAAGTCATGAAAACCTGAAATTGTATCTATTTTGCACCCAGTTACTTCTTTCTTCATATTCTTGACATTAGTTAGGAATGTAGCTCTACAGGAAAGTCCTCGCATTGCAACTACGAGGCCCTGGATTTGATATCTGGCACAATGAAACAAACAAGCAAAATAATCCAATTACCATTGTGATTAAATTACACAATTTAGCCACATAAAACACATTCTGGAATCTAAGGAGACAGTGAATCTCTCATTTTCTGCATTCATAGACTCTTTGAATTCTTGCTGTAGTATAATTGCTATATCTTTTCTATTATTATTCTGATGATTCACTCCTTACTCAACAGAACACACCTAGTATTACATTTTTTACCTGATTTTCCTATTTCTAGCTCATCCATGACTTGCAGAATCATATTTCAAATATATGTAATACAATTAAAAATTCTCTTTAATATCCAGAGATAACATTTCTTTTTTTTTAATTTAAGTTATATATTCTCTATTATTCTTAAATTTGGAACATCTATTTTTTAAAATTAAATATTTATGACTGGTTGAAGTATAAAACTCCCTTCTTAAGCCCTAGTTTAAATTACAGATATTTATAGCTATAGCACAGTGGTAGGGCATTTGCCTTACAAGCGGCCAACATGGCCGACCCAAGTTCGATTCCTCCGCCCCTCTCGGAGAGCCCGACAAGCTACCGAGAGTATCTTGCCCGCGTGGCAGAGCCTGGCAAGCTCCCCGTGATGTATTTGATATGCCAGACACAGTAACAACAAAGTCTCCAATGGAGACGTTACTGGGCCCGCTCGAGCAAATCGATGAACAACGGGAGGGCCTTTACCTTACCTTTTACACTACATTCACAAACTGATGAAAAATTATAAACATTTCTTGAGCACTTTTTATGCCCTTCCTTCCTTCCTTCCTTCCTTCCTTCCTTCCTTCCTTCCTTCCTTCCTTCCTTCCTTCCTTCCTACCTTCCCTCCCTCCCTCCCTCCCTCCCTCCCTCCTTCCTTCCTTCCTTCCTTCCTTCCTCTTCTTTTCTTTCCTTCTCTATTCATTGTAACAAACTGGATGAGCGTAGATTTTGGGTGCATTGGTGAATGGACCTTATTGCCTAGGCTGCATGTGGGGCACACGTTCCTTAGGGAAAGAGCACACCTGACTGCATTTCAAAACCAGAAAACAAGTGAAGTCTCACTAAGAAGGAAGCTATCCTTTAATGGTGACTTTTGTTGAACATTTTATGAGGCAGTATGTGAAGTGTGGTTGCCATATTAGCTTGCACATATTAGAGTGATAGCACAACGGGTAGGGCGTTCGCCTTACAAGCGGCCAACATGGCCGACCCGAGTTCGATTCCTCCGCCCCTCTCGGAGAGCCCGGCAAGCTACCGAGAGTATTCGATATGCCAGACACAGTAACAACAAAGTCTCCAATGGAGACGTTACTGGGCCCGCTCGAGCAAATCGACGATCAACGGGAGGGCCTTTACCTTTACCTTACCTTGAAATATTACATCAGAAATGTGCATACTAAAATTTATCCATTGTTTTTCTGATATTAAAATATAATTGGGAATACTTTAAAATTATTCAATACACAGTAAAAATATATGGAACTATCTGATCTGCAACTTCTTATGTTGTCACTTTTTCCTAACTTACGTTACTTCTTATCACAGGCATAATGAGAACGACAGAACTATCTTTCATCATCCCTTCTTATACCGTGATTCTTGTTCAGTTGATAACTGTAAGTTCAGGTATGAATGTATCTTATTCCATGGTATTATCAGTTATGCAAAAATAGGGAAGAAAAAGGAATAAGCTTTCTGTTCATTTTCTCCTAGGTTTAATAAGCAGTCATATAGTGAGGATACGATTTACATCTTATGATTGGGAATCACATGTAGGACACATATTGAGAATGGGAAAATAAATATCATTAATAAGTGAATGTTAAGATTTTTTTTATTATGTACCAAAATTTCTCTTAGACTTAGGGAAAAGTATCTAATATAGAGAAAGACATACTATTTTCCCTTGAGATCCCAGTATTTATATGAGTGAGTCATAATTTAATCTATAAGTCATACATGAGAAAGTATTCCAGGACTTATTTTGAAATTTATGTTAATGAATGCATCAGATAAAAAGGATGAAATAGACTGGTAGAGTTTAGACAACTGATAAGAATTTGCACTTAGAAGAGGATCTGTGAAAAACAGTAATAAATATGGCTTATTTATAAACACAAATGAAAAATCAGAGACGACAAACAGCACACGAGATTACAAAATTTCTAGCAAAAATTACTTATTAAATAGGAGAAATCTCAAGTGGTATACAATCTTTAGTTAATGCTCCACCAAGATCCTTGTCAATATGATGTGAACATGCCTATGAGTACATAAATGGAAAGTGTTACTACCAATAGAACCCAAAGCTTACTTGCTATTTTATGATAATGTTGAAAAGAAATATCGTCTGAAGATAATTTCCAATCTACACCTCCACCAAAGGTATATATGATTGTCAGGTGGTTCATTTTTGTTGATTATTACAGGTTTTACAGATATCACAGGTATCTCTCCAAATGTTACAAATTAATCTGCTGTTAACATTTTAATTTTTATTAATGAGTGAGGTTTTTAACGTGCATTTTTTCTTTTTGGGGGGGTATATATAACTGTTTTATAAACTGGGATGTGCAGAGTCTAGTAGGAGACACAGGTGAGAAATGATGATGGCTCAATAAAGATGTACAAGGTGGTGATTGGTGAATAAGGCCTTATTCAGATTGAAGAGGTATTTTGAAGATTTGTGAGAATCACAGAGATCAGATAAGGTGTTCTGGTGTTTAGTCCAGACATTGTAATAATGTTACTGCTGACTCTACAGTATGATTTTTTTGTTTCTAATTTTTTATTTTTTTAATTTTATTTATATTAGTGAATCACCGTGAGGTAATGTACATTTTTCTTATTAAATGCTTTAAATATTTTTAATATTTTGATTTTTAAAATTTTTTTATTTAAAACTCCATTAATTACAAAGTTATTCTTAATTGTATTTAGACAATGTTCCAGCAAAAATCCTACTACCAGTGTCAACTTCCTTTTAATATTTTAATTTTTTAAGTGCCTGGGTTGTTTTAGAACAGTTTCCATATTGTTTAATACTTGCAATGCTTCTTCACGACTCCATCACCAATGTCAGTGGTCCTCCACGCCTGTGTTTGCTTGTTTTCAGTCCATGATTCCTTTGCACTGCTTGTCTTTCCCTCATCTTTCTTTTTATCTGTTTTGGTTTTCTTTAGGAGGGTTCACACCCGGTGATGCTCAGGAGTTCCTGGCTGTGCACTCAGGAATTACTCCTGGTAGTGCTTGGGGAACCATAAGGGATGCCAGGGATTGAATCTGGGTTGATCTCATGTAAGGCAAACATCCTACTCTCTGTACTATCATTCTGGCTCCATCCCTCATTGTTTTTTAAGAACACTACAACATTAGGAATTAAATTTTTATCTGTTGTACTTATCCCAAATAATTCTTACCAATTTATAATAATTAAATTCATTGACTCACTTGTTATATTTCATTTATCACTGTCACTGTCCTCCAGTTGTTCATCAATTTGCTCTAGCAGGCCCAGTAAGCTACTGAGAGTATCTCGCTTGCATGGCAAAGCCTGGCAAGCTCCCTGTGACGTATTCAATATGCCAAACACAGTAACAACAAGTCTCACAATGGAGACGTTACTGGGCCTACTGGAGCAAATTGATTTTATTTATTTTGTTTTAAAATTTAATTTTATAAAATTTAATAGGTTATAATATACTACTATAATTACATTTTTGTCCTCATAATTGACTTTTTAAGTTTTACTTAACTCTGTTTTGTAGAACATTTGTAGGTTTAAAGAGAAATTATTCACAAAGTATGCAGAATTTTCACATAAACTCATTATCTCTTCCTCCCCTGTCCACTGGTTATTTCTTATTAATATCTTGCATTTGGGTGGTAGAATTATTTGGGGGTATTTTTCTTTATAATGCACCTCTATGATTTGATAGATTATTATTAAATACATTTCAAGTTTGCATTTGGGTTAACTCTTTATATTTTATAGATCTTTGATTTTGAACAAATATTATATAAATGAATTTAATGGCTCTCATTCTTTAAAGCAAGCTAAGAATCATAAATCAAAAGCTTGCTATTATCAAAGTTGTTTTGACACATCCAATTGTTTAAAAAGTTCTCCAAATAAGCACTTTTCAGTTCTCGAATATTAATCTTCTTGTTATCAGATGTAATGGTACCCAACATCTGCTAGTCAAAGATTTATCTTGTAGCTACTAAGACCCTTGAACCATTGTTACCCTCCAGAACCCTCAACAATCCGTGCTATGCAGTGACGTTACTTAGAATCACAAGTTTTCTCAATAACACTTCTCTCTCTTAAGGGTACTTGATCATTTCACTTCTAGATGGTGGTTTCCTATGCCTCTAGAGTATCTTATGAGGTGACTTCTGCCTACGTAATAGTCTTTAAGTGTTTTTAAAATATAAGCCACACAGTACTGAAATGTCTAGGCTTGCCTTTTCCTTGATCAGCCCCGAAATCCTCAAATTTGTTACATAAATGCTTGATACCGTTCACCATGGTTCCTCTTTTTCTTGCACATAAACACTGGTGGATTTATGAAAACATTAGTTTAGAAGACATATGCACTCCAGTTTTCTGTCTTCCTTTTTTTTCTTGCTTTTTGGGTCACACCTGGTGATGCTCAGAGGTTACGCTTGGCACTGCACACAGGAATTATTTCTGTCGGTGCTTGGGGGACCTTATAGGATGCTGGGAATTGAACTCAAGTCAGTTTCGCGCGACCTACCCTCTGTACTATAGCTCCGGCCCGACCTGTTTTCATCTTGGTGCTTAGTACAACAGCAAGGAAATGAAAACAAAGTTCAAGGATAAGAAGCTTGTAGTATATAAAAACACAACAGAATACTATGCAACTCTAAGAAAATCAAGTGGTTTGATGCAATGTAGATGAAACTGTTAAAGTAAGTTAGGGGAAGCAGGAGAAATACAGTATAAACTCAGTAATCTGTAGATACAGAGGTAAAACAAGGTGACAGACAATTTTATTTTACACTTTTTGCTTTTTGGGTCACACCCAGCCATACTCAGGGGTTATTACTGGCTCTGCACTTAGGAATTACTCCTGGTGGTGCTCAGGGGACCATATGGGATGCTGGGGATTCAACCAGGGTCAGTTGCTTACAAGGGAAATGCCCTACCCGCTGTACTATTGCTTCAGCCCCGTGAAAGACAATATTAAACAACAAACCCTCCCTTGGTTTATATATAAAACTGGTAATCAGTATTACCAAAGTGACTAACTGTTTGGTAATACTGATTACCAATCCACCGGGGGAAAAACAGGGAAGAATGATGACTGAGGTGAAATAGGGACAGTGATAGAGCGTTATAGCCACTTTGGTGGTGGTGAGGCTCAGTAGCTTTGAACACAAAACCCATATATTTTGACTAATTGATAATCTTAGCAAAACTTTATTTAAAAAAAAGACTCTTACAATGTAGCTGCTTTTCTCACCTGAAAATTGCATCCTAGAAAAAATGTGGGTGTTCAATAGCTTGTCCTTCTTCCAGGTCCCCATTTCTGTGTGAGTGAGACAGACTTTGACACCTGCAACATTTTGGATTCTCCACCCTTCCTCGACATCCCAAAATTCATGGCAGCTATTTCACCTACCTCATACACTCAGAACCCTGCTGCAAATCCTGCGGTGTCTCAGTCAGACTATTTCTATCACTGCCCTGCCATTAAAAGGAGTGGTTTTTTGCACACCTGCTTTGTTAGCAGAGGTCCTATGCCCTGCCTGATATAGCAAATGAAGAGCATTTTTTGGAGGTAGACATGCACCAGCTCAGCCCAACCAGTCACTGATTAATGTAGAAACAGGGACAATGTGGGGGAAAACCTTCAGTGGTGTTAACAGAGGGCATCAAAAGTTCAGAAAGATTCCCAGCAATATCAGACCTCTGTAAACTTCCTGAAGTCTTTAGGAAAACTACTATATTGATACTCAATGGTCTTAAAATATCTGAATAATCAATGAACTTAAAGAGATCCTGATAGAAAAAAATGAGATAAATGTTTGAATGGAAGTAAAGGTACTAAAGGATACAGTGTTAAGTCTCAGAAGCAGTATGGATGAAGCTGAATATTGAATTGGTGCATTTGAAGATATACTAAACTACAGCAAGAACGAGTCTATAGAAAAGAGAATGGGAATGAAATAAAGAATCTAAGGGATTTTAATTATAATGCCAAGAGAAACAATCACAGGAATTCCAAGGAAAAGAATGATGGAGAGTAAAAAAGGGCCAGTTTAAGCAATGATTGGTGAGAATTTCTCTAATCTGAGGAGGTAATCTGATAGGTGGTTGTTTTGTTTTGTTTTGCTTTAAAACTGAATTATAATAGTACACAAGTTACAAAGTTGTTCGTGATTGAGTTTCAGTCATACAGGGTTTCAATACCCATCCCTTTACCAAGGGTACATTTCTTTGAGTTTGAACCAGGCATTAATAATCCAAGTATTGTCTAAAAATCTGGGAGTTCAAATTACCCTTCAAGAATTATGTTATAAAATATATGTGACGTCTATTAGTAACAAGTTACAAGTGACTTAGTTATGGCAGCATAGTTTCTTAGAACTTACTAAAATATGGAAGTGTGGCTGGCTTCTAAGCCATGGAGTGAACCTCCTGGTACTTATCTCGGCTATTCTTGGGTGTTAGTCTCCCATTTTGTTACTTTATTTATTTATTTTAAATGTTTGTTAGTGAAACACAATGAGGTACAGTTGTAGACTTACAAATTTTTGTGTTTGGGTTTCAGTTATACAATGATCGAGTACCCATTCCTCCACCAGTGCCCATTCTCCACCACCAATGATCCTAGTGTCCTTCCCACCCATCCCCCATGTCCCCCATCCCACTCTGCCTCTGTGGCAGGAAATTCCCTCTTGTTCTCTCTCCTCTTTTGGGGCACATGCTATGGGAAAAGGCACCTCAGATAGAGAACAGAGCGCCAAGTAAAGGGTGTCGGGAGGGTCCTCCCAGGATGAGAGATGCATGCTGAAAGTAGACTATAGACCAAACATGATTGCTACTCAATGCCTCTTTTGAAAACCACAGCACCCAAAAGGAGAGAGAGAAAAAAAGGGAATTCCCTGCCACAGAGGTGGGGTAAGATGGGGAGGGGGGTGGCAGGTGGTAGAGATACTGGGATCATTCGTGGTGGAGAATGGGCACTGGTGGAGGGATGGGTACTGGATCACTGTATAACTGAAACCCAAGCACAAAAATTTGTAAGTCTATAACTGTACCTCATGGTGTTTCACTAATAAAAATTTTAAATAAATAAATAAATAAAATATGGAAGTATGTGTGTGTTTGTTTGTGTGTGTTTTGACTTACACTCAAATAGCCATTATGAAATCCCTTCCCAGGACAGTTCACAGTGACTGCCTTACAGGAACATGTTTTGGTTTCTCTGGGAGAGGAAGTTGAGCTCAGTTGCCAGCTTTCCCCACCACAAAGTGCAGAACACATGGAGATACGCTGGTTCCAGAACCGCTATACACAACCTGTTCACTTATACAAGGATGGCAAAGACATATATGGAGAAACAATTTCCAAATACGTGGAGCGAACAGAGCTCTTGAAAGAAGACATTGGAGAGGGTAAAGTGACCCTCAGGATCCTTGGTGTCAGAGTTGATGATGATGGGCCATACCACTGCTTATTCCAAGATGGTGAATTCTATGACGAAGCCATCACAGAATTGAAGGTCACAGGTGAGGATGGGCTCCTTGGGTTTTATGTGCATCTATGATTCTCAATCCATTTAGGAAAATTCTAAGTGTTTCTCATCATTTTCATCTTACATGATTTGGTTAACAAGTTCAAATGAATACACTTAATCTTTAAATTAGAAAGTGCAGATTTGAGTTGAATATATGTGCTATTTCCTTTATAAGCATGAAAAACCTATTTTCCTATGTCTACATATGCTACTGATATGTAAAATATCAACAGATATTCGTAAAAAATCCTTTAAATATGTGATAGATATCAGTGATTTTTGATACTATAAGCTAGATATATCTTTTCAATAGTCTACTTAATGATAATTAATTTTAATGTTTCCAAATTTTTAATGAAACTATAGATATAAATGCATATATCTGGAGCGATAGCACAGTGGTAGGGTATTTGCTTTGCAAACAGCCAGTCTGGCTGAGCCAGGTTCGATTCCTCCGCCCCTCTTGGAGAACCCGGCAAGCTACTGAGAGTATATACTCAATATGCCAAACACAGTAACTACAAGTCTCAAAATGGAGACATTACTGGGCCTACTCGAGCAAATCAATGAGATATAAATGCATATAATTTATTTGCCTTTGTATCCTTTTAATAGTACTGGCAGTTACCTTGGTTCAGGTTACCTAATAAATTATGTTATAGATACAAGTTAATTTTATAGCTTTGTAAGTCATAATTCTTAAACAAAAATAAATAAAATTGATTAAACATAGGGGGATGTTTATGGAATAGAAATTTTATACAATATAAAACACTATATGTGAGATAAATCAATAAGTCTTATTTTCATTCTTCTCTTACTCACTTCACTGATTGCTCATAAGTTTTGAAATAACTTTCAAATAACCTTGACCTACAATCTTCAGAGTCCTCTGTTACATATGTGATATATAGTATTTAAGTCCATTTTTTCACTTTTGAAGTTTTCTGAAAGACAAAAAATTGTGAAAATATAAAGCACTTTAAGTATCTTGAAGTGCTACAGGAACATGTGATCAGAGTGTAGGATTCTAGGCACACTGGTGTTAATATTTTGTTGACTATTATGCTACTAATTTTATTACCTAGAGCTAAGTCATTTACATGATAATCTCTCAATCACATAGAGCTACTTGCATTTATACTTCATAATTAAGTTTAAAAATTAATTCTATAGTATCACTGACCACACCTCTGGTACTTAATGGTATCACCTGGAATAAAGCAACTAAAGAGTGCATATTCAGAATATTTATATTTTGTAGAAATTTTATTGGACAAAACTAGACTCGCACTTTAAATCTCTGTCCTTTTGTTCTTTACCAGCCTATTAGGCAAGTTTTGCCAATACTCTAGGCAATGTCTTAGAAATTTTCAAAAATATGTTTTCTCCAGACTGACAAATACTGCTAATACCTGTTTTATGTAAATATCTGTTATATAAAAATAATATAAAGATTAAAGTTTCATTTAAATTTTTCATTTTAATTACCGATTGTTTACTTGTGACTTATTGTGACAGCTGATAGGTGGTTATGGAGACACAGAAGAAACATCAACCTAAAAATTCTTTAAGAGGTGGAATCTTGATGACCTTCATTTTATATCACAGAAACTTGTGCAGTTTTCTAAACTTTGCAAGTAGCCAATGAATAATTTTAAGTAAATTGAAGAACGAACAAGCATTTCCTCCTCTTATTTTTGGTACAATTTTATTAGTTTGTATGTAGCAACTCTTTAGTCTGGATTATCCTGTTTACCCTTTGATTAAGATGTCAGAGAAAACCAGAGCCCGGCAGTGCTTGGCTATATCCAAGATCCTGGGAATTAGAGTAGGAATAACAGAACATTATATTTGAATATCGTTCCCATTACCTTCACCTAAAGATACTGTTTTGCCTTTTTATTTTTAACCAGCGACAAATGTAGAGACACAAATTCTTGTGCATCCATCTACTATCAAAGACATTTTATTAGAGTGTAATTCTGAAGGTTGGTTCCCACGGCCTCAAATGGAATGGAGAGATGAGAGAGGACAGACCATTCCACCTACATCAGAATCATATTTACAGGATAAAGACAAATTGTTCAGCGTGAAGATGACTCTTCTTATTAGATCCCATAGAAATGTCACTTGCTCCCTTCGAAACCCAGTGACTGGTCAAGAGGAGATCACACGCATTGTCCTACAAGGTGAGAGTAGGGTCATTTCTGAGGGTCATTGCCATAAAATTTGCAAACTGATGAGAAATTAATGTACTTTCTTCACTTGGTTTCTCTGCCACTGCATTATTTTTATTTACTCATCATCTCACTTTACTTCTTTTTGTTTTCGTTGTTGGTCTGGTTAAGGCAACATGGTTAATACTGTTAACACTTATGGTCTTTATATAGTTAGTAGATCTCATCACCACTAAGGTCCCAGCACCCTCCACCAATGTCTTTTTGGTCCTTATAGTCCACCTTATCCTTTTTGCTCTTTTATCTTTTTCACTCCGCCTTCTCCTAATTAGTTTCTTGAGTTTTTTTCTCTCCTGGAACTTAATTCATTCTCATTATCATCAATATTAGCTGGAGCTATAGCACAGAGGTAGGGCGTTTACCTTGCATGCAGCCAACATGGCCGACCCGAGTTCGATTCCTCCGCCCCTCTCGGAGAGCCCAGCAAGCTACCGAGAGTATCTCGCCCGCACGGCAGAGCCTGGCAAGCTCCCCATGACGTATTCGATATGCCAGACACAGTAACAACAAAGTCTCCAATGGAGACGTTACTGGGCCCGCTCGAGCAAATCGATGAACAACGGGAGGGCCTTTACATTTTATCATCAATATTATAGTGGATTATTAATAACTTCTGTAAAAATCTCATTCCCAAACCTAGTATCATCTCTAAATTCAAAATTCCAACATTGAATTTTAAGAACGCAAACAAAAGACAAAAAAACCCCTTTAAACTACTAATCACCTTCTGAGTTGCTTAATTCACTGTCATGGTTACACTATATTTTCAGGGGAAAAATTCTTGAAATCTCTGACTTTCATCTTTTTCTCATGCTATATCATGTCTATTGAGATAATGTTAGTCTTCTACCCTTTGAAATTTATCTAGCATCTAATAATTCCTCAACATCTTATTGTTGCCATCCAAGTACAAAACACCATCATCCATAGTCTGAATACTGGCATAGCATAACATCAAAAAATGCTTTTCTTCCTGTTTGCTGTGTAATTTTCTCCAAATACTGATATTACATACAATGTCACCCTTTTCTCAATTCCCCCAAATAGTTACCTATTTTATTTATAATAAAATGCCTCACTATGTCCTGAATTATGTTTCTAATTACACATTTGACTGTAGCACTCTAGCACTAGAACATCGTCCTCCCATTGTTCATCAATTTGTTCAAGCGAGCACCAGTAACATCTCCATTGTGAGACTTGTTACTGTTTTTAGCATATCAAATACGCCATGGGGAACTTGCCAGGCTCTACCATGTGGGTGTGATACTCTTGGTAGCTGCCGGGCTCTCCCAAACGAACAGAGGAATCAAACCTGAGTCAGCACGTGCAAGGCAAACACCCTACCCGTTGTGTTTCATGGATAATTTTATGCTGTTCACAACCATGTTAGTATTATTCTTGACCAAGGTCTTTGTTCTAGGTATTCCCTCTTTCCAGAGCTCTTTAATTTCATTAAGTTTCCTTGCCTGCACAACTATCATATTTTTTTACAACTATCATACTTTAAAAAAATAAGGATTCTCTTAATTATATGTGTGTTTTAGGCTGATGCCTCTTTTGTCCTTATCAAAGGAAGTGCTAACCTTCTCTCTTACATACAGCATAATAAGAACTACACTGGCAAACTAATTTTAAAAGGATAATGTGGGATTCTATACCACCTTACTCTGCCCTAATGATCACCTTTAAGCCAATTGTGAAACATTTATTTTTATTGAATCCCAGCTCGGCAGAGCCTGGCAAGCTACCCGTGACGTATTCGATATGCCAAACACAGTAACAACAAAGTCTCCAATGGAGACGTTACTGGGCCCGCTCGAGCAAATCGACGAACAACGGGAGGGCCTTTACCTTTACCTTTACCTTATTTAGAAAAATAAACCACAAATGAGTGCAGTCATTCTATATCTGTCCCTCTCCCTCTGACTCATTTATCTCAGCACGATACTTTCCATGTATAAGCAAATTTCATGACTTCATTTTCCTAGCAATTGTGTAGTGTTCCATTGTGTAAATGTACCATAATTTCTTTATCTAATTGTCTATTCTCAGGCACTTGAGTTGTTTCCAAATCCTGGCTAATGTAAATAGTGCTGCAGTGAACACTAAAGTGCAAATACAGACTCAGAGTCAAAGGTTGGAAAGCACAGAACTCTTGACCAGCTTTCTAGCAATCTCTTAAAGTTATCCCCTTGTATCTAAGAACTGCATTATTGTAGTGAGAGAATTCCTTCTCCACATAGAAAAGCATCAGACCCCCCCAAACAAAATGACACATGTTTATACAAATAAGAAAACTAAGGAGGCTTCTTTGCATGAATAGGAAAGAAAGGTTGTGTTTCTAAGAGTAGTTAATAATCGTGCTAAACCCAGTGGATCTATTGGAGAATACAGAATGGCTCTTACGCTAAATGCAAAATCGAAAGGTGTGAGTTAGGACTGACCTTAGCTCATGGACTATGACTGAGATTTTGAGGAGAGAAGCAAGCCCTGCCTCTCTCCAGTTGTCATGGAGAATATAAGGAGGAAAATATATGGAAATAAAAGGAGAGCCTGAATTCATTCAGTTTTGCCCCCTCCCAAGTTGACATCCAATTCATCCCAATACAATTAAAATCTATGAAATCATAGATCTGCCATATACCACCTAAGCTCTCTCAGGCAGGACTATAGGGGTTTTAATTGGAAAAATATTTTTAATAAATCATTTCTGGTTCTGTAATTCAGATGCACTGTTTTCATGGCCTCATATTTGGATGTTCATGCTGGGGTTAATTGTGGCTCTTCTGCTGGTCTTCACAAAGGCATGCTGTATGGAAGGTTGCAGATGGAAAGGTATGTTTACTGGGTAAGATATGAAAAGTGTGGTGGGGTTACTAAAGCTACACTAACTTTAGCAACTGTATTCTTAGACCCATCCTTCTCAGAAACGTTTACTCTCATGGGTTATATGTAAGACATATGTCCTCTAACCACTCTTGGGTTCTGGAAGAGCACTGTGCTTTAAACTGTTATTAGTAGGGTCTCATACATGAACGATTCTACACCACACCCTCCACACAGATGTCCACTTCCTCCACCACTGTCCTACCCCTTTGTCCCTGTGGTAAGTTTTCTACTGAAGACCTGGACTGCTTTTACCTTTCACTGTCCTGTCACTGTCCTCCCATTGTTCATCGATTTGCTTGAGCAGGCCCAGTAACGTCTCCATCGTGAGACTTGTTGTTACTGTGCTTGGCATATTGAATACATCACGGGTAGCTTGCCAGGCTCTGCCATGTGGGCAAGATACTCTCGGTAGCTTACCGGGCCCTCCGAGAGGGGCAGAGGAATCAAACTCGGGTTGGCCATGTTGGCTGCATGCAAGGCAAACGCCCTACCGCTGTGCTATCGCTCCAGCCCAGCTTCTACCTTAATAAAAAATTAAAATTATTTTCCTATGCTTTCTTTTACAAAAAATAAGAGATTTCTAACATTTAACAACAGATACAGTTTACACATATGTACGATTGCTTTCTTAAGAGTTCAATGACTATGTTAAAAACAAATGGTTGAGAAGAGGTTGCAGAACAGTTTGCAGTGGAAAAGTGGTATTTGAAGGAAGAGTTGTAACACCAGGCAACTTAAGTTTCCTAGAAGAAAATATTTACATTTATCCTCAACTATGCTGTATGGAAAATGGAAAAGGTGAATAGTTGGAATAGACACACACACACACACACACACACACACACACAAATCTGTGTACTTGGGGGAGTTCTCAGTTGCAAGAACGTCAAATCACAGATCTCTCCACCTACAGTTCTTTCAATCTTTCAAAGTGAATTCTTCTGCAGCCTCTTTATCCCTTTGCACCTGGGCCTTGTTTCAACAAGCATAGGTTGACTGTCAGCAAAGGACTTGGGTTCAATTCCTACAAGTCTCTCATGTCCTAGATTTTCCCTAACATTTCCATCCTCCTTTCTGGTCTGAACTCTTATCTGATGTGATTTTTTAGACAGCACAATTTTTTACCCTGTAAATGTAGATTTTGAGGAGGGCCCACTAGAAAAACACAAATTCACAATTATTATACATTCTTATACATTCTTCTTATACATCTCTACTTGCTGTGTTGCAAAAGTAAACTCTCTTTTATGTTATACATGCTTATTGGCATTTCCCAATTTTTAGAGTTGTTTTATACATGAGCTCGAGAGTTGTTTTATACACTTCTATGACTTAAACATTATATCATTCAATTGCTTCATTAAACTCTTAATGCACTTCCTTTATTAACTGAAAATTTGTTTTTGTGAATCTTGTAAACTATTGAAAGTTCCAAGGCCAATTATAATAATTGTTTTTTTCCAGACAGCTCTTTAGAGCTTGTTGTAAAGATTGTTGTAGGTGAATAACCATCGCTGAGATGGTTGCCCTCAGTTTCAAAGGAAATCACTGGATTCTCTAATATTCTGTACATCTTCACCTAACCAGTGTTTGAGTAATTGAGATTACTCATATTTTGCAAAGAGAAAGAATTAATTTTATAATAAGAACCATTATGCCATCATAAGCATTTATTGAGTTTATGTTACATGAAAGATTCTATACTAAGTTCTTTACAATTTTTAGTGTAGTTAACTCCATGATAAAGTTTGCGATAAATAGTATTAATGTCCCATTTTCCATATGTTAAAAATTATATGAAGTTAAATATTCCATCAACGTTCACACCATTGATAAGAGAGTAAGTTAATATAAACCACATAAGGTCTTGTATTTTGTTTTTTCTTTGACCTATCTTTATGTTTTTGAGTATTTAAACATAATTGTATATATTATTAATTATCCAGTTGATGGTCTTTCTCTAGTTTTATTGATAAATTATTGATAGATGTCAATTGCATAAAGTTAAGGTACAAAATATGATTGATTTGATACCTAGATATTGCAATATAATGACTACACCAGAGTTAGGTAACAACTTCAACACAGTAAAGATTAGTCATTTCATTTCTGATGATTTTGAGATCTATTCTCCTAGCAAATTTTAAGTATGTAGTACAATTTTATTATCTATAATCATAATGTTGTTTTAGTGATTTAGTTTTCCAGATTGTTATTCATTGTACAACTGGAAATTTGTACATGTTACTTTGACTAACATCTCCCCATGCAGTGTTGGGTTTCAAAATTGGGTTTGTGCATGCAACACATGCATCCTTAACCACTAAGCTGTCCTCCTGGCTATCATCTTCATTTTTGGGAGGAAGAATTTATAGAATATTGGGATTAATTCTAAGAATTTGGTAGAACTCACAGAAAAACAGCTGATCCTGGGGTTTCCTTCATTGGGAGATTTTTGATCATTGGATTAATAAAGTGTTTTCTCAAAATTTCTGTTTATTCACCAGAGCCCTGCTTTTTTCCCATTTGTGGCAAGATTCTTTAGCTTTGATGTGTTCTCTTTATCTTACAGCACAGCATGCACGCTGTTGGAAGGTTCCCTTTGACTTTCCTGAAGTAGCATGGCAGGTCACCTTTGTGGTTTCTCTTTCCCCTGTGTACATTAGGTTGCTTTCTGTGGATACTCCCTATCTACTGAGCTTGCTCTTGTCACTATTGTCAAAGGTGTACACAGGTAGTCAAAACACAGTTGAAGTAGATGTGAGCTATACATGATCTCTCTGCAGGCTAGATGGAGGATACTTTGGCTGCTTCCCCCCTTCATGATTCATGACTAAGCTGCATAATGGGGCTTAAAATGCAATTGGTTGGGGCTAGAGTGACAGAACAGCGGGCAGGGCATTTGCCTTGCATGTTGCCAACTCGGGTTCTATTCTCAGCATCCCATATGGTCCCCCGAGCATCACCAGGAGTAATTTCTGAGTGCAGAGCCAGGAGTAACCCTGAACATCGCTGGGTGTGACCCAAAAAGTCAAAAAGAAAGAAAATAAAATGCATTTGGCAAAAGGCATGCACCTTTAATGTTCTTAGAATAATAAATGTCACTTTTCCAGTGACCTCCCTGCCTGCAGTTCCGGAATTCCAATTTATTGCATTAAATTCTGTGAAAGATAAACAAGCCCTCTTAAAAAAATGAAGAAACAATTCCTTAGCTATTCACTAATTCATTTGCTAACCAGCTCTTTGACCCCAATAAATCACAGGGATTCTCATTTATGTTTTTTTTTGTTTGTTTTGTAAAACACCTAGCTGAACTTAGGTATCGCTCCTGGCAGTGCTTAGAGGACCATATGCAGTGACAGGAATTGAACCAGGGTCAGTTGCATGTCCCTTAACCCCTGTACTATCTCTCTAACCAAGAGGCAGTCTTATTTATCCCTGAGTTTGCTGGCTATTTCTTTGAACTTAACTCTATGCTTCATTACTATAGCCCTTATCTCTTGGTACATTTTTCTCAATTCAGCAACACCCAAAAGGAGAAAGAGCACAAAAGGGAATGCCCTGCCACTGAGGTGGGGTGGGGTGGAGGGTACAGGGTGGGCGTGGTGGGAGAGATGCTGGGACCATTGGTGGTGGAAAATGGGCACTCGTGGAGGGATGGGTACTTGACCATTGTATGACTGAAACGCAAGCACGAAAGTTTGTAAGTCTGTAACTATACCTCACGGTGATTCGCTAATAAAAATTTTTAAAAAGTATCTCTACACCAATAATAAATAATTATATCTCTATTAATTTTCAGGTTTTCATCATGATAAGTGTCCTCCTTGGGTAGGGGGCATTGTGATACTATCCTTTTCATTCTTCCTAATCTTCGGACTTAGTATGTTTTTGCATTACAATAGAGGTATGTGATATCAAAAAGATGGGGACATTTTGAAAGCTGTGTTCTTTTTCAATTATCGTCTCTTGATAAAATATTCAGCCAAATAATATTGAAAGAAAGGAAGAAAGAAAGAAAGAAAAGAAGGAAGAGAAAGACCTTAGTTTAAACACACAGTTATCTTAGTAAACACTTACAGCATTTTAATTTTATTTCCTAACGTTTTGTGTCCTTCATTCTTTTTTTTACTTTTTAAAATTGAATTTCTGTGAGATATACAGTTCCAACACGTCCCTTACCAGTGCACAAAGGCTGTTTCCATTTTCTTTTAAATGTCTTCTATCCTTTACATAAACGAGTATTGATAATCTCTAAAATTTTAGTGTTAGAGGGCACCAGAATGATAGCAGAGTGGGTAGGGCTCTTGCCATGCACATGACCAGCCCAGTTTTGATCTCTGGAATCCCATATGGCCCCTCACCCTGCTAATAGTAATTCCTAAGTGCAAAGGTAGAAGTAAGCCCTGAGCACTGCTGGGTGTGACCTTAAAACAAAAACAAAATAAAAGTCAAACTAAATGTTAATGTTAGAAAGAAGAACTATTTATCCAACAGTAAAACTTTCTGAATCTGTCCATTCTCTCATTTCTTTTACATATACATCCACAGCAGTTTTGATATTATTTATAGAACTGTGTCTTTAAACTTTTAAAAGATATTTATGGGGACTGGATCGGTAGCATAGCAGGTAGGGCATTTGCCTTGAGTGCGGCCAATCTGGGTTCGATTCCAGCATCCCATATGGCCCCCTGAGCACCACCAGGAGTAATTTCTGAGTGCATAAGCCAGGAATAGCCTCTGTGCATCGCCAGGTGTGATCTAAGAAAGAAAAAAAATGATGGTTAGTCAAGAACAGTGTACTTCTCTGAAAATACATAAATAAAAATTTATTGAGGCAAATTGTTGAGAAAGAAAAGTAATTGCTCTAGACAGAATTCTGATTTGGAAACAGATAATCTGGTCGTTGACAGTGGTGCACCCAGCACAAGACATAACCAATGTTATGAAACAGCTTATTTTATACTTTTAGAATCACCCGGAAGAGATCTCTTAATGGATATATTTTTTTTCGAATTAAGAAGAATACTTTTGAGAATGGTGAAAGTATACTTCCACCACAAAGATCCTGTCCATCCTATATGGCTTTACTTCGTCATGAAGCTCCAAGAAACCTGTAGCACCAGATAAAGAACATAAATGCTTAATGTATTCATCTTTCCTTCAGACTCTCAGCACCCAGAGCAAGTATCATTTTTCTGAAATTGAAAAATGGATACCTGGCTCTTTGTGACCACCTTCCAACTTTACCCCAAATACACTCAGCTCCAGGATCAGCCACTTTCTAATAGCCCAGCCTACTTCTCTCTCATCCTTATAGGAATCCAAGAGAATATGGATCAACAGGACCTTGAAAAGTAAATCTGTTAGTAATTTTTAATCATCCTCCTTTTTCTTGCTATGGCACACCTATTTCCTGTACTCTCTACAGTACCTGCTTCAGAGCCATATACACAATTGGATAATATCTGGCTGGAAGATATAACGGTGGTCCTGTATATTCTGATAGTCTTCATTACCATGGTCATTTCCTTCATTTACTTTAAAATCAGAGGTAAGTGGAATGAGAAGGGTGGTAACTCAGAAGTCATTATACCTCTCACTGATACTCAACTTTCCAAAGGAGTGATCTTTCCAGTCATTTTGAATTAGTAGAGAGAGAAAGAAACCAACCCATGTCCCGCATGAGACTCCCTTCACCTTCACGAAACTCCAGGGTTTCTGCACTTAGGAGTTAGGGCTGTGTCTCAAATTCAAGAAACAGTCTCACTGATGACTTCACAACTGTGACAATTTTCAATTAGACTTGGATACTTTAGCTCTTTAGAAGTAGTCAGTAAAGTTTTTTATTAAGCTTTTCGAAGGCATAGGTGCTTCCTTCTATTTTGATCTCAAATTCAATATAAAAATACACTATTAGAGTTTTCTCTTTCAGATATTTGTAAATGTCCATATAATATAGGCAAGAAACATTTCTGAAACTATGTTCACAAAACGGCAGGTATCTGACTAACGTCCAAAAATGAAACTCCTTGATTTATTGCACAAATCTACTTTTCTTATGAAACTGAAAATAAGTAGAAAAATTATCATTTGTGAGTAAGAATTTTAATATTTAATTCTCATATTCTACCAGAAATTCATGGTTCCAAAAATTTAAAATTTAAAAATCCCTGTGTTCAAGAAATCTTATTTTCAGTTCTTGAAAACCACTGTCAACTTAAATTTTCAATAATGATTCAAACTCTTTTCTTTTAAAACTAGAATTGCCAATGCTTTGAGCTTTGAGAAATATTCTTAGAGACTGATTCTACTTTTAAAAATTTTCTTTTAAATATGATATTGAATGTCAACTTTTACGTAGCTCTGAGTACTGTTAACAATGCTGGAAAGTATTTTAAGAGATCCATGGAAAGTTTAACATTATGAACTTAACATGATAGTCTTCTTTTGATTCACTGTCACTGTCACTGTTCTCCCGTTGTTCATCAATTTTCTCGAGCGGGCCCTGTAACTTATCCATTGTGAGACTTTATTGTAACTGTGTTTGGCATATCAAATACATCATGGATAGCTTGCCAGGCTTTGCTGTGTGGGAGAAATACTCTCAGTAGCTCTTTATTTTTGATTCAGAAAATAAAATAAAATTTTTCAGAATATAAAAAAACTCATAAAATACAACAGTGTGTGATGGTAATTGATTACAACAGTAGACACTTTACTTGCATATAGCTGAACCTGTTTCAATTCCTTCACTACATATGGTCCCCACATACTATCAAGCATTATTACTGAGCCAGAAGTAAGCCCCGTGCATTGCTGGGTAGTGCAATCCCCACCCAAATAAAGAAAATAAGATAAAAATAAAAACTGGATAGGCATATGTACACTATTGATTACAAGAAAGTTTCCATCTTATGGAGAAAATGCAATTTCATGGCGAGTTATGGAAACCAGGGAAATTTATTTAGTTAAGTAGAAAAAGCCCAAAACATATGATATCAAGAAATATTCTGCCTACTTTTTTTATTACTGTAAATTCATTGATTTTTGGTTTTCTTTGTGCTACCTATGGAGAGCTGCCAGGTGTTGAAGCGGTCAATATGGACAAACAAAACTGAAGAGTAACAGCCAAGCTTATATCCCTTATTGTTATGGTATCAGAGGCCAAAAAAAAGAGTAATGCAGGCTCCTCCGAGTTCTGCTTTCTTTATGTACTATATCTGGACAAGAGTCAAGTGACATGCAGCACAGGTTGGGTTAACAGTGTCTAGCTAAAAAGTAACCTGTCATTTTATGACCAAAGTCAGGAGGGGGACAGAGAAAAAAAAAAGGAAAACTAGAGACAGAAAAATGTTTTAGTCTATTTTCTCCTTCCTTCCTAAGATTAAAGGAGCATTAATGACTGAAAAGCATCTCAGTTGAATACCTTATTAGGGCAATACCTGGATAAGGAAAGCAGAAATGCACATTAGAAAGTTGTCCTGGAGTCCTTGAATACAACTACCTCTAAACTTTGATATGCATTGTATGTGCACCAAGTCTGGTGTCAGACAGTTTCCACCTCAGCAGACATGCTGGGTAAAGATTTTACCATTTTTTATGCTTAGACATAGGGATCAATACATAGTACTTTGGCTTGTCATCACTGTCATTATTGCCTATTCAAATGTTTAGAAATAACCCATTCCTTGGGATTAAACAAATGTAAAAGACAAGTGTGTGCTCCATAGAAACAAATTTATACTACTCATGCCTAATTTCGGCTACCAGGTAAAGCAACTTTATCACTGTCATCGTATCTATAGCCACTGAATTAATGGTAGGGAGAAATAGTAATAAGCCTATAGACAGGTTCTTCCATTTATGATAGTCACTTTTATATATTGATCTATAGAAACTAAGAAAGATAGTCAAAGGGAGACTTTTAACTTTCTCACAGTGGAGCTGGCCAGAAAAGTTGAGAAACACGCCCTGTTTTCATTTACATGAGGTTGCAAAGTTATTTCTTAACTGTGTTGCTTTGTATCCCATAAAGATCACAAAAGAGTCATTGTAACAGCCAAAGATCTAAGTGATTACTTTTTAAATTTTTCTCAGAATTATTTGAACATAAGATCAGATGATGCATTAATTGATTTAGATTAAAGATTACATAAGAGAGTGAACTAAAATGACCCCAATTCATTCTTCCTATATTTGCTTGATGTTAATATGACATTGCTTATATGTTATTATTTTATAGTAACAATCTCAGGATAACATAGTCAAAATTGAAAAAAATGGTTATCACATAGATGTCAATCACTTCTATAATGAAGTCCATTTTCTTTGACAAGGACAAAATCATTTTTCAATAATTTTTAAAATGAACTATATTTTTCTTAAAATTGTCTGTTGTTCTCCCAACTTTCTGTTAGGGTTTTTCTTTTATCCAGCTGCTTTCATTGTATCACTTCACTGAAGGAATTTAACTTTTTCATATTGACTATTTCAATTCCACATCTGATGTTACACAGTTTTTCAGATTTCAGCTCCTCTTCCATTAAGAGGCTAACAGAAGAAGATGCACAAGAATACTAAGTAAAACTTAAAAACAAAGATGTAGATACACTATAACACTGTAACTTTTTACATAAGAATCAGTCTGGTTATACCACATCTTTTTTCAAGTAAAGAAATACAACAGATTTTGACTTAGGGTATCAGAGTTATGAGACTGCAAAGAAAGAGAAAGATAAAAAGAGAGACAATATAATCTTGATCACAATTTCATCTAGCAATCCATTTACTTCTGTTTCAGGTATAATATACAAATAAAATTCAGATCGTTTCTGAAGTGCTTTTATTCTTTTCAGGCTCACTCCCTGACAAAGATTTCCCTCCATTGACTTAGACAAGCTAATTCAAGTTAATGACTTCTAAGTAAACAGTTTTTTTCTCCTGACTTCTAAAAATTTCTTCTGTACCTGAGAAAATCAGCTTGTTCTCAAATAAATTACCATTACAAATGCTTTGCTTTATTAATATTTATAATAATTTATAAATGAAATTATAATGCCTGATTACATTTTATTTCCTTGACAGAGTTACTAAAAATTTAAGGAATTGAAAAAGCATCCAAATCTCTTCTGAAATTCTTGACAGACAACATTGGAACAACATGCTAAGATCTCAGGAGAAAACAGCTGTCATCCCACAATTTTACAATCAATGATTCCCATATGGAGTAAAAATAAAATATATTTGTGTATTCAATTTGCATTCATTTTTAGTTCTTGTATTTATGTCAGTAATTTAATGTCATATCTATAGATGATGTCATAATATCATCACGATCACTATCACGACCATCCTGTTGTTCGTCGATTGCCTCGAGCAGGCCCCAGTAATGTCTCCTTTGTCCTAGCCCTGAAATTTTTTTGTAAAAAAGTGCCATATTCAAGGCTCTTTCAGGGTTAGGAGAATGAAACCCATCATTGTTACTGGTATTTGGCGTATTAGGTACACCACGGGGAGTTTGCCAGACTCTGCCATGTGGGCAGGTTACATTCGGTAGCCTGCCACTTTGTCCAAAGTAGGAATGAGATTATAAGATGTCGCGCGGCCACGAATGCCAATATCATATCTATTGGAAATTAAGAATGTCATCAAGAAGACAGTGCCACTTAAGTCTGATACTTAAGAAAGTTTATTAAACCATCATTGAAGAGAACTTTAAACACAGAGCTGCAAAAGTCAAACTTATGTTCCTTATAGCCCAAAATGGAAAATATATTAACATAATAAAATATTATTTAAAAGAAATTAGTAGGAATAGTTACAAAATAAAGATAAAAACACATATCATTTTTTCCCAAAATTTATTGAATAGTACATGTATATTAATAAAGCATTTTTATACCTATGAAGGAAATGCAAATAAAATTATCTTCATGGTTTATCACAATTTTTCTATCACATTTCTGATTACAAAAGGAAGAAAAGGTAAACTCACATGTAATCCTAAGGAAAACATGTAATAGCTTAGTTGTTGATGTTGATGACTGATAACTTCCCATGGTAACCATATGTTGTGGGTCTTGTTGACTCACTTAATTCCTGTCACTCTGAACAAACCTTTTCTCTGTTTGCTTATTTATATTTTATATGAATCTCTATGTCACAACTCTGATTAAAACTGGCATAATTACATATCTATTGCAGAAAGATTAGTTCTAGAGAAAAACAAGTTTGTGAGGAAGAAAAAGAAGGAGAAGGAGGAAGAGGAGGAGGAGCAGGAGAGGATGGGGTGAGAGGTAGGAGGATGGGTGAAAGGGGAAAGGGGGAGGAGCATGGGGGCTAGAGGGAGAGAGAGGAAGAGGAGGAGGGCAGAAAAAGAAAAGAAAAAGCATGTCGTAATGTACGTATGATGCATCAAGGAGATCTATGCCACATAAAAGTAAAGGCCCTCCCTTTGTTCATCGATTTGCTCGAGCGGGCCCAGTAACGTCTCCATTGGAGATTTTGTTGTTACTGTGTTTGGCACATTGAATACGTCATGGGGAGCTTGCCAGGCTCTGCCATGCGGACGAGATCCTCTCGGTAGCTTGCCGGGCTCTCCGAGAGGGGCGGAGGAATTGAACTCGGGTCGGCCATGTTGGCTGCATGCAAGGCAAACGCCCTACCGCTGTGCTATCGCTCCAGCCCATAAGGATCTGTAAATGAAAGACACCTCTTCAAAAGTCATATATAGACATGCAAAAGAATGTTTCTCAGTCCATTTCTGAGAGAAGTCTTCTGAGAGAAAACTTCAAGAAATCTGAAAAATAAAAAATGACATTGGAAAAAATGAGGTGATTGGCAATCTTGGAAGCAGGAGAAACCACCTCAAAGCAAACCAGAGTTAAATTGTTGAAAATGACCGATAAAAGCTTGAAACATTAGATATTACACACAGGACAAAATAAGAATCACTGTTGATTTATCAGTTGACTGAAAACAAGCAAGAAGAAAATCATATGCCTTTAACTGACACAAGACAAAAAGAATCCATCTTCAATTGTATGTCATGTTAAAGTGCAAGTCGAAGGTCAAGGAAAAATACAAAAATAGCCAACAAAATAAAAGGAGAGAGATTTTTGGGGTAGTATTTGTTACTGCTAGTAATATTAAGGGAAGTTCACAAGAGAAAGATTATTAGACTAGGTGTATATTCCACTCTATCAAAGGAGAAAAGTCTTAGAAAATGTAAAAATGTGGGGAAAGTTAAGGTATTTTTATTTTATTTCAATTTTCTTTATTATTAGACAATTTACAATATAATGAAAAATAAGAATTTATCATATACTTTATAATGCAAAAAAGAAAGAATAACAGAGAATGGATGTGGATTGAACTGAGGATTTACTCAGATATTTTTTATTGTGCAGCAGCTACTATAAAAGTACTATAAAGAAAACTTCACAAGTTAAAGAGGTTGACTTCAAAATATTTAGTCAAAAGCAACGACAAACAATGCCAATAATAACATAGTAGAACACTAAAGATTAGTTGCCTAGCTTAAAACATTATATAAAAATAAGAAAATGACAAACATATCAAACTAGATAAAAATGAGACACATTAAGTATGTCAGAAAGGTTAAGTTTGAAAAATATAGGAAGATACATCATACTAAAAGCAAGCACATAATTATGTTAATTATTTTATGTTATGTAAACAACATAGATTTCACCAAAAACATTAACAGAAAATATAGGGACATTTTATAGGGATAGCAATCATGAATATGTATGCATCTAATTAAAGAAATTTAAGACATGAAGTAAAAATTAAGTAAGGATTAAGGAAATACACTACTCCACAAAATATAGTTTTCAGTTCTTTTTGAGTTTTAAAATATTCTATGGAAATAGTATAAAGATTTTTCAAAACACTGAAAATGGAACTAACATGATTCAGCAATTTCTCACCTTGGTGTCTATCAAAAAAACACAAAAACAATAATTTATGAAGATAAGTGAACACCTATATTTAAAGCAGCACTATTAAATGAGCTAGTTCTGAAAAACCTCATGAAAGATAAATAAATGATAAAGAAAATGTGATAAACATGGCCGACCCGAGTTCGATTCCTCCACCCCTCTCGGAGAGCCCGGCAAGCTACCGAGAGTATCTCACCCGCACGGCAGAGCCTGGCAAGCTCCCCGTGACGTATTCGATATGCCAGACACAGTAACAACAAAGTCTCCAATGGAGACGTTACTGGGCCCGCTCGAGCAAATCGATGATCAACGGGAGGGCCTTTACTTTACTTACTTTATATATATATATATATATATATATATATATATATATATATATACACACACACACACACACATATATATGTAAAGTTGCAACAATGAAGTCAATTGGATTGGCATTTTTCACCCCTGTGCAGTGGGAGTCAATTGCAGAAAGTGAGACAAACACACAAGGAAATTAACACATAGGATTATTCAAACTTTGGGGTCACCTTGGAAGCCCCAAGTGAACTAACATTTATTCGATCCAACATCTCTCCTCTACCATGATTCCCAGCATGTGAGCCATTGTTTAAGTTGACAGAGACAATAAAGACAGTCAATAAGCCCATGGGCTGGCCTTACCAAGCTGGGACAGCAGATAATGTGCGCTGCTCCATGCTGCCCCTCTTCAGAGAGAAACCTTTGCTTTGAACAATCCAGCCTCCAACCCCTGCACCCTGGCAGGCCTGGATCCCCACTGTTCTAAAGAGGGGGGCTCACGGGAACGAGCTGAGCAAAGCCCTCGGATCCGCCATGCACTGGTCACTAGCCTGGGGCCTCCCAGCCCACCCTGCAGCCAGTCACTGTCCAGACTGCTGGGGAAAACACGACCCTGGTGTGGGACCGTAGGGGTCCAAGTAAGCCCTCCTGATGATCCCCTGGCACCACTTTGCCCCTGCTCTCAGCTGTCCGCCCACGTGTCTGGATTAAAAGCACCAGTCTTTTTTTTTAATTTAATTTTTATAAAGTTGTTCACGATTTTTTACATTCAATATTCCAACACCAATCCCACCACCATTCTACCTTCTCCCACCACCAATATTTCCAATTTCCTCCCCCATTACCCAAACTTGCCCCAGTAGCAGACTCTAAATAATTCATTTTGTATTGCTTGTTATGAATATTTCGCTAAAAATGGTCAAAAAAGATTGCCTTTAAAAAGTTGGTCAAGATTGTTGTGTCTCACCAAGAGCCATTAAGCCTTTGTATAATAAGTTACTAACCTGTAAGGTTAAGCCTTGTGTGTTTCTTTTTTTTAAATTAATTAATTTATTTATTTGAGGGCTGGAGTGATAGCACAGTGGGTAGGGTGTTTGCCTTGCACGTGGCTGACCCAGGTTCTATTCTTCCATCCCTCTTGGAGAGCCCAGCAAGCTACCTAGAGTATCCCGCCCGTATGACAGAGTCTGGCAAGCTCCCCCTGGTGTGTTCTATTATATGCCAAAAACAGTAACAACAAGTCTCACAATGGAGATATTACTGGTGCCTACTCGAGAAAATCGATGAACAATGGGAGGACAGTGTTCCAGTGCTCCAGTAAGCCCATCAAAATTCAATGAGTACATTGAGATCAAAGACTGATATCAGATATCAGGCTATCTGATATTTCAAATAGCCATTCATGTGAGCCATTGTTTAAGTTGACAGAAATAATAAGGACAGTTAGTAAGCCCATCAAAATTCAATGAGTACATTGAGAGCAAATAATGATATTTCAAATAGCCATTCATCAGGCACCCTTAAAGTATAAAGTCATGACGATTTCTTATTCTACTTTTGCCTATGTTTCCATCTACACCTAAAAGACCCTAAACTGTCTCATTCTATCCTTCCTTAGGTAGAAGTTCTTTCCTCAGTTCTTTGCCACCCAAGGACATACGCTTCTTAACCAATTATATTCTAAATGACCTAAACTGCTGTGCCCAGGTGACTATCTCAAACTTGGTTTTTGTTAGGGGAACAATTATTGTTCTTTTCCACAATATGAATGGAACTGGAGGGGGTCATTCTAAGTAAAATAGTAATAAAAAAGGCAAATACCAGATGACCTCACTTTTATGTGTGATAAAAAGAAGTAAAGCAAGGGAAAAACAAAAGCAATAAAAAATGTCGTAGATTCAGACCACAAAACTCAGGTTACTAGAGGGAGAGTTTGAAAGGGTTTCAGTGGA